AGAAGGCGGACTCGAGGCAGCGTCTGGAGCCGGAGAATATGCGCGTCAAGACTGCTAAAGCTTTTTTCGAGCCAAGCGATTTTCTTTTTTGTATTTTTCAGTGTCTCCAAAGGCTGATTGAAGTAGGGAGGAAAATTTTGACAGTGAGGTAGAAATATTTTAGGGAGCTAAGGTAAGTGACGCAAAAGAAGCTAATTGTACCTTCATAGTTGACCATTCCTTCACCATCTTCCGATCCCTTCATGATCTCCTCCACTTCGTCAGTCGACAAACGCTCGCCTAAGGCGTGCAAGATGTGCCTCAATTCTGTCGCCATTATCTGGAACACAGTATGCTTTTGCGCTTTGCTAACTGTGAAAGGCACAATAATCGCTGAGCCGAAGGACATTCATGATGAGGATTTTCTCAACTTTTTTATCATCAATTATTGTAGTTAAATCAGCGCAAACTGTCCATGAACAGTCGTATTGTGGTAGGTTTTCTTTTTTTGAACTATTTGCCGCTTTCTCTCATCCGATTCTCTGCGATCTACAGGCATGGTATTGGAAGACACAAATCCGATCTATTTGTATAGTTGTTAGGGATGCAGATAATTAACCTTTCCACATTCTTCTTTATCGAAAACTTTAAGCCCTTCAACGAAGTCTTGATACGTTCCTTGTTCCTGAAATGTTTTCTGTTATGAAAATAACCTAAGTCAAACTGAAAAAACAATGTCAAGGCGATTAGTGAGAATAAAGGATTTATGCCTGAGCGTCTGTCTGAAGAATTGCCAATGGGCTGAGTAGAAAAGTCAGCTACGTCGCTAGTAAGAAGGGACGGTCCATCAAGGCATTAAGCAAGTGCTGGATGTGTTGTCGAAAATAGCCTTATCAACTGACTAAAGAAGTAGTCGATCTCAAGTATTAGTTTGACTCAAGGAAATTATGTGCAGAATATCTCATGACAAAAGAACAATTACCGGAAATACTTGAACGGCGTAATCTTGCGATTCGAAAAAACGGGCTGAGGGGCTTGACAGTGCCACTGTCCCCTGTGGACAAAAGCTTTCCCTCTTCGATCGAGGACGATTGCTACAGACAATGTAAAATACAGTGCTAATGGACAATTTTCCAAATATCCATTTGAAGTTGAAAAAAAAACTCCCCGTCTTCTCCGGCATTTCCCTATCACTTTGTCAACAAAAATCATTCACTGGCAAAGTTATCGACAATCCTCTCTTCTGCACAGTGACTGAGAAGAAAGCTAATGCAACTTATTTTTCACAAAACTCAAAAAGAAAGAATGTAAAAAGGGAAGCCTTTTCTTTGCTCAGTTGTTCATAGATTGGCATCCATTCTTCGAAAGTCAAGCGT